AGAACCATGATCCCTGAAAATCATTGAGTTCAACTGCCTTATTTTTCAGATGAAGAGACTGGGCCTCAAAAAGCTGAATAAATTTTGAGTAAGTTCACATGGTTAGTATGTAGAGCCAGGAATCTCATTTTTACTTTCCCTAACCTCCCTGCAAAGGGCCTGTGCCTGGGGAAGGAGTGGGGTGTTAGATGACAGTGGACATTCACAAGATGAGGGAGGACTCAGAGCAAGAAAAGAACTCAAGACCCTGGATTTTCCTTTTCCTATACTGCTTGAATGATTTGTCTTACTAATCAACTTCAATCAATTTTAATGACTTATTACACAATTGCTCCTAAAGAAGTGACTACTTATCTTTGATAAAGGTGCCATCAGAGGACAGAGGAAATACATATCTAGAGTTAAAGTCTATTCTCTGTACCATTTCTGAATGAGTTATTAAATATGCATAAGTAGATATATATGTATCTGTTAAATATACATATAAATATGCATGAATGGATTTAAACAGTTATAATGTATTTATCTACAGAAGCATATGTCATTAGAGGGGGTGCCTTAAACCACAGCACCTGCTTGGGGTTCTTAATAAGTAACAACTGAAACACTACCAACCTTCACAGAACTCCCTCAAATAAAACACACTAGTAATATCTCCTGTTTCTGTGTAGACCTGATAGAATAAAGTATACACCACAGGGACTAGATCACTTTAGGCCAATCTCTTTTTGTAATCACCTCTAACTGTTGATCTCAGCTTTTGGAATTGGTACATTTTTTTTAAAAAGAGGTTTATTTCTAGTTTTGATGATTAAAATTCCAGGCTCCATAAATAGAACACAAACAGGATATGAAACTTGGTCTACATGTGAGAACATATGGGTGGGACCAATGAATTCACATTTCATTGTTTTTATCTGGAAAGAAAAATTACTGACTAGAACAGCACTCTCAGGCCATGTGTGTAAAAGGCCATTTGTCCCCTTGGCTTCACAGTGAATTTGTTCGATTTTTCTTTTCTTTCTGTTTTTAAAAGTATGTTGTCTGGTTGTTTGGCTTCTCCTGTTGTCTGGTGCCTCATAGGTAGGTTGTCAATCATCTCTGAGGTTAATGAGCCCTTATTAAGAGGCTTAGTCCTGCAGCAACCCCCCAACCCATCAGAGATCCTCTGCTCTCCTCTGTGGTCTGCTTGTCTTGAGTGCCTGGCACATTTCAAAAATGTTTTTGAAAGAATGCCTGGCAGCCTAGGGCAGTAGAATTTAAGCCTTAATAGTTAACCATCTCTGGATAATCTGGTCTAAGGAAATCACTTATTGTTTCTGACCCTTCATTTTCTTCATCTGCACAATGGGATCATTTCTTCACTGCCTACCTGAAGTCACTGGAGTGAGGCTCAAATTGGCTAACATGCATGAAAATCTGTGTGCATTTCTCTTCCTAAAGTACTATTATTAGGGTTCTTACCCTAGGAAGTTTGCAGTATCTTTGGTGCACCCTTAGAAAGACAACTTTTCTGGGCAATAGTCATGACTCTGATAACATTCATATAACTGACTGGGATGTGTATGCTGTTGTTTACATAGTTGTTTTATGGTCCTTAAACAAGTGTTTTTATTTAAAAATCCCAATTCTATATGAATTAGTCCAAAAACTCATTTTAAAAACACCTGCTTTTAAGATAATCCAATATCAGAATAATGTTCTGGTTATACACATTTCATTGTTTTCTCAGAAACCAAAGGAAGTAAATCAAGACTTCCAGTAGCTAAGAGTCATGTTAAAACATTCATTAGTGTGATATAGCCTTGCATTCACCCAGAGAGAATGTGGCAAAAATCAGATTTTTCTATTTTGTCTGCACAGGGCTCTTTCTATGACAGCTTGCCACCAGCCAGATTAGTATAGATGCTCATTAATCAAGTCAAGCCCAAGTGTCAGTATGCTCACTCTGCAAGCTTCTTTGTAGCACCCAGAAGGGTGTCAAGTAGGCAGCAAAAACTAAACATATTTTGCTGTGGGAATGTCAGTTAGTTTGTGAGGGGCTCTCTCTATTTGATGGGAGGAACTACAGTACAGTGGTTAAAAGAAGGGGTTTTGATGTTTCTCAGACCTGGGCTCCCACGCTTACTTTGCTTTTTACAGGTTTTGTAATGTCTGAGCCTCAATTTTTTCATCTGTAAAATGGATATACAGATACTTATATAACAGGCACAACAGGATTTGTTATGAGAATTCAATGCAGGACATTGCTCAGCACAATATAGGTGCTCAATAAAAGGTTAACTAAATTACCTGTAATAACCAGTAATGTTTTTAAGTAAGTTTTTAACCAGTAATAACATTATTATACCAATTATATTAATAATATAAATAATAAGGCTTATGCATGACAAGTGCTATCCTAAGAAGGTATGAATATTAATTTGTTTAATCGACACACACAGGTGGGGACTATATTTGCCCTAGGTTTGCAACTGAGACTCAAAGAGGTTAGGTAAATTGCTTAAGGGAAAAGGTATACCAGGTTTTAAACTCAGGCAGTTCACCTCTAGAGTGAGAGTTCTTAACCACCACACTATACCACTAATCCCTTGCTGCTGATGGATACTGTTAAGAACTTAGTGTTTTAGTGGAATGAATGGCAGGTTTTTGGATGGTACAGAAAAAGTGTATCACATTACGGTGGCTTTTCATAGGTGCCTTCGTTTGACACCCTTAGGAGTGTGCGTCCACTAGATGGCATTGCTGTTTTAATGAAACGTGAACCAAGTCCCTAAGTTTAGGAGCCTGCTAATTTGAAAGCACTAGGACTATCTAACTATATCCCTACAAGTTTGATGGAAGAAACTCCCATAGCATATCTAGGGATGTGTAAAGACTAATGGAATCTTGAAATAATTAGGAAAAACATATGCTAGTTCATTTTGGGTGTCAACATCTGTGTAGAAAATCTGGATGAATTTAGAGATTACCTTAGTCCAAGTGCATCCATTCCTAGGTGAATAGCTTGAGGGCCAGAGAGGAAAAGTGACTTTTTAAAGTAGGGTGACCCAGACCTATTGGTTTTGGCTATAGTTCTCTTTCCATAATATTTCCTATTGATTCTATCACATAGAAACTGTGACTTCTGAATTTTAACAAGACTTTCTTTTTGGGTCTGGAGAGAAGATCACCCAACAATTACTCACAAATTGTGAGTCTTCGTTTCATTAGGTTTGAACATGTGTTCCAAATCAATATCAGATTCGGCCACTTAGATATTAAGTAGCGTAAAAAATGGTGCCTGTTTCTTCTTTTTCTCATGTTCTTTGGGAAAGACAGAGTGACTCCACTTAAAAAGACTGTTCCTATTGGTTGACAAGCAGACTGTGGATGTGAGGCCCATAGCAGGGAGCAAGGTAATGGACAAGCAAAAGGAAGATGGTATTGGACTGCCTGGGCTGGAACCTGGCTTCTTTCATAGTAACCCAAGGACCCTGGGACACCTCTAAGACCCCGTCTCCCCATCTGCAAAATGGGAACTTTTACTTATTGTTGTGAAACTAAAATGTGTGTAAAGTGCCTGTGACCTGGTTGCAAAACAAGGTTAAGGCAGCAGTGGTAATGAAGTTTTGTTACTACAGCTAATGTTCAGTTTCCCGTCTCTCAGTTGTGGATATCATTACAGGTACTTTGTCAACTTTACTTACTGTCACATGCTAAACTGCTAAAAAAGCAAAGTAACGTTTCAGGTTTTATAACTGGGTAACTTTGCTTCTTCCTCCACCAGATGGTAGAAGTAGTCAAGATACATATGGCATGTACTTCATTATGTGTTCATGTCAACTTTATTTAAAACGCTCGTAGGCTTTAGGCTCCTACTCACGGTTTAGACAGAGGCAGTGACTGGCTTACAAATAAAAACAGCTAAACTCGTACTTTTCCCTTTTCAAAGATGAGTAAACTGGGATGGGGAGATTCACTCCAGCTCAAATAGCAAGCCACAGAGCCAGGATTTGAGCCCAGGTGGCCTGGTCCTTAGCCATTCTGCTCTGCCACCTCTCAGGGTGGGATGTGAGGAGGCTTCAAAGACTGCCGAGGTCTACACTGTCCACCCCCCCCCCCCACCAAATACTACAATGAAGCCTGCTATGGCCACTGTTTAGCTCTTTTAAGCTACTGCTAAACATATATCCTCCATTTCCCAGGAGGATGATGTGTTAAGTATACATTAATGTTTTTACAGCAGTTAGTAAATGAGAACGAGTGGTTAAACATTTAATAGACTCCAGAGTTTAACAAGGTAAAACAAAGCTGTGGCAGGCGAGAAGAGCTCATGCCTGGGAGAGTGCCCTCTTGAGGACCCCTCAGCAGGCATTCAAAGACCAGGGGCAGGAGGCTAGGCCTGCTGATGCAATCACGCCTGCTCATCGCGCTGTCAGTTGGCTCTTACGTTGTGTAACATTCCAGACTGCACTCTTTTCATTGCCAGTCATTCATACTCTACTCCTACACAGATTCTTGAATTCAGATCTACAAGAGCCTTAGCGGTCTTCTGGTCTAACCCTCTGCCTTTACAAAGAAGGGAACCAGGGTCCCCAGCTATCTTAGAGGGAGAGCTGGAGCCCTGCTCATTGTTATTACATCCTGTTTCTGCGTCCCTTAGCGCTTTCATTTTAAATAGCTTGCTCTGAAACCTTGCTGCAATTTTACTGTTTTATACCAATAACATTTTTCCTTCAGTGATGAACCCAAATTCAACACATAGCATCTGTTCTTTACAGATAGCACCTTCCTATTTATAATTTCTTCTTTCTTCCTTTGCTTGAAAATAAACTTTCATGGGGCAGGGGAACAATGACAGTTATCAGAATGCATTTTAAAATCAAATAGTTTTCTCCCTACAAGCTATGAATGCAGGTAATTCAACTTCGACCTATGAGAACCACCACACTAAATAGGACCAAGTCAACTTCAAAGCCGAACTTCCAAAAATGAGCAGGGAGCAGACTCCCACTTACCAATTTCAGTCATCGTTATCCCTGGCGCTAACTGCCCGTTGTTGAAAGAGCTATAGGTAAACAAGTTGGGGACGGATGTGAGGTCGTAGATAGGTTCTTGCTTTATCTGTTTGATTCCAGTCATGTCCAGCCCGGACTGATCCGGGGACGGCTGGCCGGAGTCCACGCTGTAGAAACCCTCGGACTTGGGCAGGTCGATGACGTGCCCGTTGGCGTAGGTGCCGCCGGCGTCGCCGCCCAGGCCGCCGAGGCCGTTGCTGACGCCGGCGCTGTACACCCTGGCGAGTGCCTCGGCCTCCCCGCCCTGCTGCTGTCGCTGCTCCTGCAGCCGCTGCTGGTGCTTCTGCACCTCCGCGTACAGGCTGTCCCTCTGCTTCTTGGACATCCGCCCGAACTTCACAGCTGTGTAGGGGAGAAAAGCAGAGAGGTAACACTTCCGGGTGTCATTTCCGTCAACTACGTCAAATCGAAGGGGTCACCGACGGTTGTCCCCTTGACATCAAATGAGGGTACGAACTCCTGGCGCCGTAGGTCAGGAGTCGGTTCATTTGCACTCCACACAGGGAAAAGGTTAAATGCAGGGGTGTCTCTGCTGGTTGATGGGCATAGTGAGAACTAAATCGAAGCTAGGAAGAAATGTAAAAGCTTATGAATGTCTTGGTACCATGATGTTAGAAGGCATGTTTGCTTTTCTTTCTTACCTGTGGAAACAAAGATCCACAGAAGCCAAAAACTACCAATTAAGATACCAACAAACACTCATTATTAACATTCTCTCCGGAACAGCAGTATTATTAGATTGTGGGACAGGACCCTATTACTTCGCTGTTTTCTAAATAGCATGCTGGGTAAGACCAGGGATGGGGATGTGGGGTGATAAGCATAGTTTTAAGTAAACCATATCATTTGCTTTTAGTTGGCTTTGGGGATCAAATTAAAAGAATCTTTGGAAAATAGAAATTCTGGGCATCTAGTGCCCAACAAGTGAGCCAACAGTATAACTCCTCCTTCCTTGTTCTACCACCCCCAAGTTTTATATTACGCATGTCTTCTGGCAAAATCTTTATAGCCATTCTGAGGAAAAAGCAGGGAGAGGCTGTGTAAGCCACAGAGTAATGTGAGGATGCTTTGATCTGAATGCAGTGTTTCTTTACACATAGAGCTTAACCTCCTGAACTATTACGGATATTTACATTTCTCCTCACAAGCTGTCAACTCCCAGTTAGACTGTGAATGTTGTGAGTCAAGAGGCTACCTTGTCCGAATCATCAAACCCTGTGTGGTTCAGCTCATGCTGATGGTGGGGACTATGACAAATTTGGAGGTCCCCCTCTATTCCAGTTTTCTTTTCTTTTGTGACAGTGTTCTCATCACCTGCTGGTGTTGAGAGCTCAGAGAGCATAGAAAGAAGAAAGTAGAAACAGGTCCAATTCCTGGATTCCGTCCTTCGAGTTGGTGAAAATAATTACTGAGATTATATAACTATATGGTGATGTGCTTAAGAACTGTCCAGCACAAAGGGCCACATTAGAGATTCCTATTGTGAAAGGGTTGCCATGTCACTCCCCAATATTCCTCCAATATTTAATTTCTCCTCCCACTGGCTGCAGAGCCCCCAAATTTCATCTAAGCATGGGCTGCTCAGAATGGAGGCCACCTTTCCCAATCCCCCTCACTGCCAGGTGTGGCTTTGTGATGACGTTCTGGGTAATAGGAAGTGAAGGAAAGTGCTGCACACAGTTCTGGGGGCTGGAGCATGCTGTCTTCCTCCTTCCTGCCTGCTGGACTGTGGATGTGAGGGCTGGATTTAGAGCAGCCCAAACTCTTCCTATTCCAGCACTTAAGCCTTCTTAACAACTTTTGTTCTGGCATTCTGACGCTGACCAAGTAAGAAAAAAAAAGGCATAATTATCCAGCAATTTTTCTGAATGAGGGCAATTCATCTGGTTAGCTCAGACCAAACTCCTTCTTCCACCTCAATGGTCATTTTTATGGGATCTTGAATCATTTAGATCATCGTGTTTAACTTTGTTGAGACACTGTCTTTATTAGATTCTGTTTTTCAGAGAAAAATTTATTTGCTTACTAATTGCAGTGGTATTTCTGTGGACAGAATTCTGCAGTAAATTTTAGGGCAAGCATTATGTGTGCCTTTATATCTTTATAAATAATTTATTATTCATAATTCTCTATGGAAAAAAGTTTTCATATAAGAAAAAATAACCATGATAAATTTTGATTCAGAAAATTTGTCTTTTTACCCCAAAAAGAACTCTTTTTCCCCAAGAAAATAAGCTGACATGCACATTTTCTGACTGTCTTCTGCATTCCTCTAGGTTCAGAGGCTCTTTGTTACAGAGCTATGGAGGTGAATACAAAATTTGTATCTATTGCTATAGATCAAGATATTTGTTTTGGTGGGAGTGGATATTTGTGCTGACTTGTTTTAGTAGCATAGTTTTGCATTTGTTTGCTTAAAATCTATAGGGAGAAAAAACTGAAAATGATGAACTCTTCTAATATGGGGACATAAATGCAGTGTCTCTTTTTAAACCCCTTTTCCATTTAATCCTTGCTTTGGAGCTGTGTACACTCTATATTTCGCCTAAATACACACTGTAGGGAATTGACTGCATTCATAACCCTGATTCCTCTTCCCTGTTTCCAGACCATTCCCCAGGTGGATTTGCAGCACCCTTTCATTCTGTGCAGGCATCCTGCCCCAACCCCGAGACTCAGGGTCATGTGAGCTGCTCTGGGCCAATGAGATTCTGACATACCTGGCTTACCATGAAAAGGACACACCTTAACTAGCTTGTTGGAGGATAAGATACGTGAAGCTGAGCTCAGCCACCTCAGTCAGCCTGGACAAGGCCATCTATGATCAGCGGAGGCAAAGACTCACCTAGAACTGATGGCAGATGAATGAAGGAGTCCAGTTAAGACCCTGAATTGGAACAATTTTAGGTTCAGAATTCTGCTGTTAACCATAGATCTCAAAATCAAAATGTCAAATAAACAAGCTGTCAAAACCTCTACCCTAGTCAATATCTGACAACTCGATGGTGAATAGTTATGCCTTTTCCAAGAAATTGACTTAACCCTATCACTCAGCAAACTGAAATATTTTCAAAGAACAACATGAAAGTCCACTACTTTGAATTATCAGACTTCATCCTAAATCAAGGGCTTTGCTGACAAATTACTCTCATACTATTTCAGAAAGATTTTTCCATTTGTTTCAGAAATACTGATGAGCCAGTGTTTCAGTTTTGTGCCCCTCCTGTCATAAATGGGCTGACATATTTGGGAAAAAATTATAGTACATGGAAAAGATAAAACTACTGATCTTTCCTGCCACATAAATGATTCCTTGCCACTATTTGTAAATACATCTGTTGTATTCTTAGGCCTATTTTTACAAAGGCTGTACTACTATTTTCAAGTATTAGCATTCTTCTTGTCACTACCCACTAATCAGAATGGCATGTATTTTAAGTGTTTGCCCCTCTCAAACTTGAATTATTCTGTTAATGAGATTCACTTGAGTATAGAGGCAGCCTCTCGTTAAACTGTCAGCTCTCCAAGAAATGAGCACAATTCTGTATACATTGCAATCTCTATAAATATTCAGTGATGATGGTATTTGCTTATGATATGCTCTTAACCCTCATTTTGATGCCACACTTGCAAAACAAATAATTTCATGCAAAATATCAGGAAGCTTCTCATATTTATTTGGATTGTGGGATTCTAATTGGAATGGAAGGTTTTGGAGTAACTATAAAACAAAGCCACTGCTTCTTCAAAGATTTCTGCTTACCACCACATGCCAACTAGACACATGGTTTTGGTTTCAAGAGAACCCAGCCAGAGAACCATAATCCCATGATTTTCCACAGTCATTTTGGAAATTATTTTATCTTGCTCTTGTTGGCTGTAAAGATATGTTTACATCTCACTGCTTCCCAAGGAAACTGGTCAGAATTTAACTTTTAAATTTCAATGATGTGCCTTTTTTGTAGCCTACCAGGCTTTGTAGAAAAAAATCGGATTCAGTTTACCTAGCTGTATTCATAGTTTAAAATATTCTTTCTCATCCCCTCCACTTCTTCTCCAACAGGACATTCTGTGATGACAGAATGTTCTTTGCTTTCTGATAAGGTAGCCACAAACCACATGTGATTTTTGAGCACTTGAAATAGAGCTAATAGGACTGAAGAACTGAATTTTAAATATCATTTCTTTATAATTAACATAAATTGAAATAATGACCCATGTTTACCATTTTGGACAACACTGTTCTGGATGAGAAACCTAATCTGTGAAACCAGTCCCTGCAGGGCAGCTTTCCTTTTCTCACAGAGGAATGTCATTTAGGAGAACACACACTCGATTACTGTAAGGTGACTATCAAGTTTCCTCTTGCGGCTCAATGTCTGCCTATTGATGCCAAACATTTTTCTGTTTTTGTTGTTGTTTGTGGTAGTACAATTGGAAAGTTTAAACTGAAGATTCGCGCAACTAACATTTGCAGAGGGTCCAGTGAAAGAATAATGAAGATTATTGGAGAGGATTCAGTGGGCATATAAATGCTATCAATTCACATATACATGTACATATGTACCTTTGCCTTTTTATACATGCAAACACACATGTATGTATTCCAAGTAGATTTGACTTTTGATTCTTTGCCTAAGTTAAAATCGAACAAATTTGCTATTGCTGAGTTTGTTGTCTACTCACTATGTGCGTCATGGCTAATAGGCCACTCAAGCAATGGAAATTCAGGAGACATTGAGAGTCCAGTGATTTTAAGAGTTATATCAATCTATCTACTGGTAGTCACATTGTTTCAGTGACCAGGTAGGGGAGGCAAGCATTCTTAGAGCCATGCATAACTGACAGAGAGCAAATGTAAATATTTAAATGAAGATGCTGCTTTATGTCTGAAGGGAGGTGGGTGGAGGGTACCTGGAAAGACATTTGGGGTGAGGGCATCTTATCTTGACTACCGGTATTACTACTAAAGCACTTTGAAAGTTTAATCAGTAGACGGTAGATACAATAAATTAGTGGCAGGAGAAACACCACCTCTCATTCTTGAGTCTTTGCTAGACAAAGTCTACCACCCATACTACGGGGCTTCCCAGGCCTTCAGTACCGCACACCAGGCATTATTTAGCAAGAGGAGATAAAACCTCTTCAGCTCCCCTCGTATTAGTATGACTTATTTCATACAAAGTACCCTTTATAATCAAGTTTCAGACCAAACTTCCTCTCTGTAATGTAGTAAAGAAGAGTTTGTTTCCTCTTAGAATCATTTTTTTCCCTCCCTTCTGCTGGAGCCCTTTCTCCTCATTCTCAATCACCACTCCCACCCCGAAGTATTTGTCCTCATTACTAATTTGTCATAAGATATGCTTAGGAGGCATTCTGGGAGATGTCTCAGGTAGCCTCAGGACTGTCTCTGTACCTAACTAGCATTACGATGGATCATTATCCTTAAGCTCCCATATCTTTAGACTCTGCATTTATTTTACTTGCATAGAAGTTTAATGTTCTGCAGTAAATTTCTCCTCTCTTGAGAACAGATTGTGGCTCTCTCCATTAAATGCTTCTCTCTTCCAACACACTTCTTTTATGTTATGGGATTCAGACAATGTCCTAGACTTTGTGGGCTGATGTCGCTGAATCTTCCTTGCACCATATGGCCATCCTTTGCCCATGATTCTATTCACCAGTACAGACCTACAAGATCTGCCCTTCCAAAAAAGATATTTCCTTTTATTGCAGGAAGAAGTAACAAAGACAGATACCTGGTGGCTTAATCTCTTTGCACAATTATTAGTGAGGTTTCATATACTGTCAAATAATATGCTGCCTCCATATGGTAGAAATGAAATGCAAAATCATCAGCTCAAATACTTATAGAATTTCACTAAATAAATCCTGGCAACTACTTAACTGCCACCCTCTATATTCTTTACTTTAGTTACATGGAAGTACACAGTGCTATAAATTTACCCTAAGAGTAAATTTATGTGGTTAACAAATCTAGGAAAATAAATAAAAAAATAAAAACCAGTCAATTGATGGAAAGTTTTAGAAACATCTCTGCAGCTTTAGAAGCCACCTGCAAATTCAAGGACTCAGGTCAGATTACTATTTATTCATTTTGGTCGAATCTATCTCATAGGTGTACTTTTGTGCAAGACAAGTTTAGGTGGGTTGGGAATTAGAGAAAAGATAAACAAAAATTCAAGATACACCTATTTGGAGAATGCAAACTAAGAAGTAAGCAGTTTATATGTTTAGATATCAAGACCTAGGGTGAATTTATCCACATGACTAAAAGGCTCACATTTATTTAGAAGCTCATAAAATCCTGTTACGCCAAGGGACAATACATGCCAGTTATCTATATTTCTTTAAAATCAGGAAGTACTTTATTTTTTTTGGTCCACAGCACTTTGAACTTCATTAGAGGTAGTGTGACCAAAGAATAAGTCAGGGGCATTACCTGTGTTTCAGGCTGGAGGTAAAAGAGAATCCCATGGTTCAATCAACATTTAGGTGCCTACTTTTAATCAGACCCTGAAGATACAGTGGAAACAAGACAGAAATGGCCCCAGGATTCAGGGTTGCTCAAAATCTTGTACAGGCTTGCTGTGGCCAGTCTCAGCGGAGAAGAATTAGATGAATGCTTAAAAATGGAAGCAAAACTGAATGTCTTTGTAGGAGTTTATTTGTCCTCTTTTGTTAATCTCAGAAGTTCAGTTGGGGAGCCAAGCCACCCATACGGGTTAGGTTTGAGTCATATTCTGAGAGGGACACCACCTACACAACCCTTTTAAGACTTGGATTTTTGCTATAGCCTTTGCAGTCTTCATCACTCCTCAAAATAGTCCACACCCAATGGTGGAGCTTCTGGGTTTCCTAGAGAAGCACATTCTGTTTCTTAGCATCTCCACATATTAAGCAACTTGTGCCCCAGTCAGACTTACCCTGTGACCAAATGGGTCTGGTTTGCCTGGGACTTTCCGGTTTTAACTCTTGACGATCTCAAGTCCCAAGAAACCCCTTGTTGACAAGCAAACCTGGGCAGATGGTCACCTATCCGCCTAGGCCTATTGGCTTTCACCTAACCTAGTAAGCCCAAGTTGCTCCATGAGCTACAGTGAAGTCTTTCCTTTCTTCCTATCTCATAGGCAATACTATATTTTTATATGTTCTTACTTTTTCTCTTCATGCACTACTACCAGCACTTGGTTTTCTTTTATTCTTATTCCCAATTCCCTTTGTCTGGAATTCTTCCAAAGGCTTAAATAGACAGCAGCAAAGCATCCAGTGGAAAGCCTTTCAATATGAAATAGGAAGGCAGTGCCTTACCATCTCTGGACATTCCTAGGGCAAGACACTTCTGCAGGCGGCAATGTTGGCAACGGTTTCTGTTGGTTCTGTCAATCAAACAGTTCCTCTGCCTTGGGCAGGAGTAAGAGGCATTGTTCTGCTGGCTCCTCCTAAAGAATCCCTAGAGGGAAAAAGGGAATGGGAGGGAGACAGATTCATGAGGGAAACAGAGACCATTTACACACAAACACTGCTACATTTTTTGCAGTGAACATAAGTGACTTGAATTTTTAAAATTTGTAGGATACCTCTCCTTGGATAGTTTACAGATATTTTTACTTGGGAAATTATGTAGTATGTGCAGGAATATGAAGGTATCCTCCTTCCTTCCCTCTTTCCCTCCCTCCTTCCCTCCCTTCCTTCTTTCCTTCCTTCCTTCCTTCCTTCCTTCCTTCCTTCCTTCCTTCCTTCCTTCCTTCCTTCCTTCCTTCCTTCCTTCCTTCCTGCATCCTTCCTTTAATCAGTATGTACTGAAGACATTTGTGAGTTGTGCTGTTTTATGCAAAGAAAACCAAAACATTTTCTGCCTCCAAAGAGCAGGGGGCAAAGGAGTGGCAGAGGAGAGTGTTGCTGCTGAGGTGAATATGACAAAACTTCATGGGGATAATCACCAAGGGTCATGCCAAGAGATGTGGGGTGGGGAATGTGGGGTGTTGGTTGCAGTAGCAGTACTGAGGGATTGTGGGCTCAGTATGTGCCACTATCTTCCTAGTTTTTGAGATGAATTTTTTACCTATTCAAAAATTATTCAGTTTGGCCAGAAGGCATCTGGAAGGTTGTTTTTTTAAACCACTGATGCATCTTATAATCAACCACATCTCTGAATAAAGGAAATATGGTATATAAATTGTTCAGTAAAACATAAGCAGTAACTGAGAGCTGAACCATTGTCTCCATGTGGCCTCCTGTTGCAATAAGTTTTCATGCCAGCCATGTTTGTGTTCTTTTGGTACAAAATGAACTGCCATGGACCATAATAAGCCTAAATAAATCCACAGCTGAGTTCATTACTTTTTAAATTCTTTGGTTATCACAAGTCTTGGTTACCTTACAGAAAACCTTACTGGGTTTCATTCCTCTATTTAATCAGTTTCCCTAATCACTCTTTACTCCTGAATTGCAATACAGAAAAAGCATAAAATGTCACAAACAAATGGGTAGTTTACTGTAGATTTACTAAAAGAAATTTTAGCAAAGGGTAATCCACAGTATCATCTAGAAGGAAGCCTAGAATAGTTCCAGGATAGTAAGCTCAATGCCTGTCTTGCTGAATGGCCTGGACATAGGTCTCCTGTCTTCTGTCAAACAGCTTCTGGCTTCATCAACCACCACAGGAGGATGGAGCAGGGCTGGGGCTAGAGTAAGGCTCAGGAGGTAACCACCTTGACCCCCAAATGTAAAGGTTGCCAAAAGCCTTGGTAATCAGGATAAGTAATAGTTTAACACAGTATGTAAAAAATAAACATTAATTCAGCCCCCACTCCCAAAGTTTAAATACAGACAGGGTCAAGATCATTGATTTTACTTTTGTTTCAGGTTCCATATGTCTTAGCGTAGCACTGTCAAGATAGCTTGGCCAACCTTGTGAGGAGCCTCAGAAATGGATGTGTGGCCAGTTCTTTTCTTAAAAAGAAAGAGTCCCAAACTGGTTTTGTGGTTGTAAGCCCCAAGCCATTCAACAAGGACTGGTTTGGTCCCCACAGAGCCATGTGTATTGTGTATTTAATGAACCAGTGGTGGCAGAATAAAATATCTGATTGTCCATTGAATGAATTCATGGCGCCTCTTAAAACAGAGATCACATCTAGGTACCCAAGGATTAAAATAATGTACTTCATGTACAAACGATCTCTGACTTAACAATGGTTTGACTTAACGATTTCTCAACTTTATGATGGGGCAAAATTGATATGTACTCAGTAGAAACCATACTTTGAATTTTGATCTTTTCGTGGACGAACAGCATATGGTTTGACACCCTCTCATGATGCTGGAGGGCGGCAGAGAGCCGCGACTCCTCGTTAGCCACGCAGTTGTGAGGGTCAACAGCCAATACACTTAACAACCATTCTGTGCTCATTCAACCATTCTGGTTTTCACTTCAGTTCAGTATTCAATAATTTACATTAAATATTCAACACTTCATTAAAAAATAGGCTTTGTGTTAGATGAGTTTCCCAACTTCAGGCTAATGTGATTGTTCTCAGCATGTTTTAGGTAAACTAAGCTAAGCTATTACGTGCGGCAGGTTAGGTATGTTAAATGCATTTTTTACTTGAGATGTTTTCATGGGTTTATCTGGATACTACCCTACAGTAAGCAAGCTGAGGAAGATGTGTACCATGAAAGTTATCAGAAAGTTAACTTCAGCCCATCAGTCTGATTAAAGATGACTTGGAATTTACATTTTAAGAAAGAATTGGGTGGTTTTTATCTTTGGATAATCCAGTGCAAAAGAGTCTACAGAAAAGAGTTTTCTGAAGTTAATAGCTACAGCCTTAATTTAAGGCCAATTTGACAGTGATTATAAGGCATTTCTTGCTTATCTGTTTACAAATGAGGTTTTTGGAATGAAGAAGAGATTCCGTTTCAAATATTATTGAATCAAAAGAAGTTGTATAAGTGTACAAGCTGAATTGAGGTCATCTAAAATGGGTTACTTTTATGTTGACTCAAAAATTGTATTATGAAAATTCAGAGGTTGATAGTCAATGTGCTGACACTGACATGTTATTCTGAACACAATTTCTTGAGTATTTTCTATTGGGAGAGCAATGTAGTGCATTTACAAATGTGGGTTTTCCCATGAAATAAAAAAATGTACTGTAGTGTACAATGTCATTTTGATTAAAACCTCAGAGTATGCTTCAGAATAACAGCATAATTTCTTTTTATTTTCTTCCTTAAAATAGAAAAGATAATAGGAGCCTAAAATACTTGTTTCTGGCTATTGACCCATTGGAATATATTTGCTCAATAGTCAGATCTTTTTGGAAATTGCTGTTTAAAATGTTTTGCTCCTTAACATGACATGAACATCTCCTCATATTTTGAAATCAGACTTTTTTCCAATTAGGGCTATACAATAAAACACAAAGCATCTCCATTCTGACACTGATCTACAAAACATTTTTCAGGGGTAAAGTAGACCACAGCTCTTAAAAATGAACACTTAATAAACCAATGTAGTGGTGAGAATGCTTTCACTCAAGAGGGTTCTGATTCCAAATTTATTCATGCTTATGAAGAAAAAATGATTTCTCTACCTGCCCAGAGGTAGTAGTAAGTTATTCTAGGAGGGTAAAAAAAATCACTGATTTGTAATTTTACTTAATTGTTTCTTCTGATAAGTGGAACAAATTGCATTAAAGTGGATAACATGCAATTCTTAATTGTAGGTCTGCAGAGGCATAGAATGCAGGGCGCATCTCGTGAGTTCACATATAGGTTGTCACTGATCGCCTCTAAAGCAGGTCAGTGTATTGATGGGTCAGTAATGTTATCCTTTCTTCTCTGCATCCCTCGCCCACTTTTATTTCCATTTATTTATTTTTTCTTTTCTTCCCTCCAGTTTCAATTCCAGGAATTGCACTTTTTAGAGACTACTATGAAGACATTGCCAGGTTTTCACATAGCACCACTATTTGACAATTACAGGATGTTTTGTTTCATTTATATTTGAAAGTCTCATAAGATTAGGGTTGGTTCTTAGACTCTATGGTTGTGTTAAGTCTCCTTCAGTTTACTGACCTTAAGTAAACGATTCACATTGCTTACATCTTTTATCAAAAATATGATTGCTTTCGCCAATAACTTTGGCAGCCTATCATTTTTCCCTCCCAGCTGGTAGCTGCATTTTGTTTAAAATTCATTGTAGAATGATTTTTATTTCCCTCTTGGCATTTAGTCTCTCATTCTTTCTTCTAAGAATGAATTTTAAAAACTTCCTATTAAGTTTCAAATTTCTCTTATTTCAGATTAGGTCTATGTTAACTGCTGTTCTCCCAGCTTTGTATTTTAAAAACAATTTGCCATAGGAAATTGTTTTGGAAATTAGTTTGTCTTTGGAAGTATTGGTTGAACCTGTTCTGGAGGGGAACACTGGACTAAGAATTAAAAAAACATCTCATTTTGGCCAAGCTCGCTCAACAAGATCAGTGAAGTTGGCTGAATGACATGATCTTGTTTATACCTCAGGAGGTCACTGAAAAAATGAGGAGGTTGGGGCAGATGATTTTTAATTAATTTAGAGATTATCTGGTCTACTTCTGACATTCCATACTTCTAGTTTTATGTTTCTGGAATGTGAGAATAAAGGATGACCATATGCATACTGTAGCTATACTGTGACTTCTTTCTCAAGCAGATAAATAAATACAGGCCCATTAGCTTATCATCTTCATTTTAACCTTTAGTTCTTTCATATGGTAATAAATACCCTGGAGTTTACCTGAGGTAGTGTTAAATAGTGTTAAAACAGCAAGAATCAGTATTGATATCTCTGTAAATGTGAGTACTTCAAGCTTTTAAATAACAATCCATTTTTAGGCAGCTGCTGACCCCTTAAGAAGATAACAGAAAAGGGAAAGGCCAAGGAACAGAAAATCAACCCCACCCACCCACCACGGGAGAATTCCCATGTTGTCAGCAGGCTCCAGAATCCTTTCTGAGGCCCCCTTTACAAAGCTCTCTCCGCGGGCAGCGTGAGGCACACGGATGCCGGAGGCAGTGCTGGACGGACTCCCATACCTTGCAGCCTTCGCATGTGATGACTCCGTAGTGGATCCCGGATGACTTATCGCCACAAATTTTGCATGGTATCACTTCAATTTGTGCTGAAAAGGGAAAACAGACATTTTGAGCTTACAGAGTTGTTCTCTTCCTTTCACCCTCATCGTTTGAAGACTCTGGAGTGGGATGGGGTGGGGTCATCCACTACTATTTTAATGGTTTTCCTAAACTGCTTCCAAGAGAAGGGGGCCATCCATCTACCATTGTTTGCTTAGCTTTTCTTATACTAAAAAATAAATTCAGGGACCAGAAGTATTCTAACCTCTTGCATTCACTCTTTTCTCCTTTTTAAACTTGACCCTATCATAGTGTGACTCAAAAGTCCCTTGAACTCATGGCTTTGGTTTTCTTATTTTGTATTTCAAATATTAAGTCACTGAGACCTGCCACATTGCCTTATTTCAATAATATTTTAAATAAGTAAACAAAGCAAAACTGCAGGGGGTGGTGCTGACTTTATACATTACATGGCTGGATGTTTACTTGTGAAAATGCCAGTGATGAATCAGTCTAATATTTATTGAACATACTTTTATGTCTGCTGAAATAACAGAGGTCATTGATGCAAGATAAGACACACTAAAGACACCAATAATTTAAAAAAATACCACAAAAATTAATACAAAAATTAATAAGGGAGAAATGATGAAGTGTGTGGGCACTATGACTGAAATAAGTTCATTGGGGATGAAAACATTTTCTTTGATTTTGAGGATTGGGTAGGATTTGATTAGGCTGAGGTGAGGCAAAGGGCATTTCCGTAAGCAGAATGGAAGGAAGCTAGGGATGACTGTGGCCTCTGGTCATTGTGATGAGCAGCTTGGCTCTCCTGGAATCTTGGGCCATGTGTTTGGATGCAGGGAATGATAATCAGCTTGTGGAGCTCCTGGGAGTTCGGTAGAAGAATCGACACCTAATGTCACTGGCCATAAGGAATCAAAGAAGTAAACAGGGTGAAGAAATGATAAAAGTGGTGGTCTGGGTACGTTAGAAAGGTTAGTCCAGCAGGCTAACCAGAAACAGGTGAAAACTAAATAAGGCTGGATAAATGGAGTGGGAAAGCAAATAGTTCAGTGGGAGAGGTGAGACTCAGATAAATGAAAGACAGGGTGCAGAAGTGGAAACTGACTTGAAGAGCTGAAGGTGACTTCTAGTTTTCTAGCCTGGAGGATGAGATGAAGAGTAGGGTTGACAGAAGTTGGGTGGTTGGTAAGGCAACTACTTTGTGGAACATGGTGGGGCATGGGATTTCCCTTTCACCTGTGTGCAACTTGGTGTGATGTCCTGTAGGCATCTGTATATGGAATTTCTTGGAAAGTTGATTTCAAGTCATCAGCATCAAAGTTGTAGACAAATTCATGAAATAGACTTTATTTAGAAAGAGGTAATTCCTAGTCTCGGATAGTACTCTCAAGTGTTCGAAAAATTATACACACTAGGAAGATTTACTACTCCTGCTCCCAATTTAAAATAATTATGCAAAATACACTTCAAATGCTTTGTATATCAATCTGCCACTTGGATGCTTTTCTACAATTTCTTACCCTTGAATACACAAAACAGATAAATGAAGGGCATAACCCTCTTTTCCCTATTGCTTTGTATTTTAAAAAAGATAATGCTTAGCTTTTGGGGAGCATACTAAGTGTTTTCAAATTAAATATTTCAAGTAAGTTCAAATCATCTTTAAGCCAAAAATTCAGGGTTATGTCCCTATTTTTCATATGAGAAAACTGAGGATGCAGGTGGTTAGTGATGTCCTGGAGTTGATTTGGGAGAGGACAACCAGGAAGTAGGCAATTTTCCTGACACCTCACTCAGTAACCCTTTCTCTGCCTACTGCAAAGATAAAATATGAATACAAATGTGAATTCTTATATTATTCCAGTAGCACCAGCTAAAGAGATAATGACAAAAACATCAGGAGGGACAAAGTCAACTGAAACACACCCTAGACTACATATTTTTATTCTATTGCTTCTGTTCTTTAAGCTTTTGGATTACATACACTAGTATTTGCTTTCAAGACTTTTTGATACAGGAAAAAACTGTGAGACTTGGTGTAATTCTATTTGGTTTTCCTGGATTCTGTCCCTTGTCTCTTAATGACTGGGGTCATGGCCAAAGTAAAATCTCTGATCTAGTTTCCTGGTTTATAAAGCTTACCTGACAAACTAAACAGATTTGTTAGGATTGAATGAGATGTTTTATGTGGAAGGTGCCTTGTAAATAGTAAAGACCTGCAAAATGTCAGTCTTCATCATCAGTATCAATATCAGTATCATTGTTAACTGGTATTTCTAATGCTTTTGGATGAGAAACATGACACTCCACATTATTATTCCTTTATGAATATTTTACCATTAAAAAAACCAAATGAATGAAATTATAAGTTATTTGCACTGTTCTTTTTTTTTATTTTAGTGATAATCTTTCAAAGAGTGGATTATTTACAATGATTACAAAATTGACAAAAAATCCCAGGTATCTATTGTAAGTTGTTAGGCTTATATGATATTAAGTCAAAGGCTCTCTTTGCATAAATTACTCCGCAGGGAGTAACTTACAAGTGGGGAGAATCTGCTTCAATAAGTTCTTAATTATAAAATGATCTAACTCTAAAGGAAATGAAAATAGAGGTAATTTGCCCCCTGAGGTGTGAGAAGATGTTTTTGAAAGCCACAAAGGTTATCTTATACAATTTGGGAGATACAAATGGGATAAGGAATGATTCAATAGAACATCTGCATATTTATACATATTTATAATCCTGGCTCAACATGCAATCCTGAAGAACCATAAACATTTTAACAATATTTTTAAAGAGAAAGAAGTCTCTTAAAAAGGTATATGTGTGTTACTGCGTGTGGAAGGGGATTATCAGTTTGGAAAACCTATGACCATTTTTACCTATTAATGGCAGAATAGATCATCTGAAGTTTGTTGCAGGCAAAGATAAATTTAAATCACTTGAAGTACTAATCTTTTTCCTTTTGTTGCATTTAAAATAAACTGCTAATGAGCTACAACTTTATAGTTCACACTATGGATTTTATAAAGCTCAAGGCAGATATTTCAGACACTGATCAGGACAACAGATCACATCATTGCTCCCACGTCTGCTCCTTCTCAACGTCTCACCATCACACCAGCCCAGTCCCCGTGTAGTGAACACAGATCTGGTGATACGTTATTTATCAGTTTCAAACTGAACATCTGCAGAGGATTTGGTGACATGGACCTCACCAGTTGTGACAATGAAAGCACTATAAGGAGACCGAGGAGCGAGTTCAACTTTCATGCTTTTGTTTGACTCATGGATGAATTCCATAATAGCATGCTCCGAGACAAAAGCAGAGCCGAAACGCCCTGAGAGATGGCTCGAGGTATGCTTGTTGCGCAGTTTTTCCATTTCTTATATCTCCCTCTCACTTAAATGTTTCTATTGGTAACCCTTTGTGGAGAGAATAGTTAAAATTCTCTTTACCAATTAAGTATTTTTTGTTTATAAAAGCAAGCATATCTAGTTTGTTTTGAAATGATGTTCTTACAATGTCAAAGAATGTCATGAAAGATTTTTAAAAATTTGATGTTTTACCTACAGCGGAACAATTTATGAAGTACAATTAATTGAATAGCCCATGATTTGGCAGGCAGGTCCTATTCAATAATTAGAGAAGAGGAAAAAAATTGAAGATGGGAGTTCTCCCTGCCAGTATCTCTGGAAGGCCCTTTTTTACTTGGAGCCCCTTATTTGTTGTTAGGTTAGATGAGCTAATGAGTTAACAAGAAAATATATATCACTTTGATCCCTGAAAATACCTTAACTCTTAACAGCAGCCACCAGGAATGGTAGATTATTAAGTGGACTGTTCAGGTCCTCTCTGGATGGAGGAAACATTTTTACTGGGTGTGCACGTGTGGCTCTCAATTCTTACCATTCCATCTCTTACAACTCAACCTGGCTATTTTTATATTCTGGGCATTTTAAATCCATTGAAAGCAGGATCCAGATCACACTTCCTTTTTATATTTTCTAAGGCACACAAGAGAATTTTTATAACTCCTTAAAGCAGTGGTCCTAAATTTTTTTTTGTTAGAGTAGAAACAAAATCAAGGGATCTCACATACTCGTTTCCATACAGATTTTCCCTATTTACGGTGAGGAGAGCAAGTCAGAATCTTGAGATTGTGGTGGATATACATTTGGAAAATGTCCCCGAGTGATTCTGATGTGATAAGATAAGGCTTCCACTGAAGATTAAATGAATCAAGTTATTAACTAGGAATTCTCTGTAGGATGTAAACTATCTACAAAGGAAATGAACTCAGAGAAAAGGCTAGAATCTGGAAACACTAAGGAGTGACCAGTAGTTCTCTGATTCTTGACCTTTGGTTTGGAGCTATAATTGCAGCATCTTTTTTTTTCTGCCTTTTTTTCCCCCTTCACGTGAATAAGAAGCATCTATTCAGTCTATGATAACTCCTGTTCCTGGACACTGGGTTTGCTTCTCAGTTTCTGTTTCCTAGAATTTTACGGTTATGCTGAAAGTGGGTACTGTAGCAAAACTCTTAATATCTGAGTGAAGAAAACTTGCGCATATAGAAGCCTCCAATTAAGGTGACTATTTTGGTTAGAAAACCTTTTGCAGATGGACTCAGTAGCCCATTTTATCTCTCATCTACCATTTGCGGCAAATCCGAGTTAAAATTCCTCTTTGTACTTTTTCCCTATTACTGGCAGACTACTAAGTATCTACCTCTATCAGTTATAATATCTTCAGGTGTCACATAACAGCAAACCCAAAGGATGAAGCAAGTATTCCTAAGATCTGTAACTTTGATTTATCAGAAAAGAGCCCCAACATTGGGGTGGGATGGAAGTGTGGAAAATGAGACTCTCAGGAAAAACATAGAAGTCTTTGAGCTTTTGCCCTTATATCATGCTATGTGGTGATTCTAAAAGATTCCTGAAGTTGGATCAGGTTTGTATTCACACGTATCTCATCAGAGCACAGAGCATCTTGATCTTAAATACTAATAT